CTGAGACTTTGAATAATATATCAGTTACTTTTCATAATAATATATATTGTTACATAATTATTTCAATTGTTAAAGGTTTACATTTTTGAAGATCTGCTTACATTTTTGAACATGGCTAGACTTTTCATTTTAATGATAGCTTTGGGCTATTAGGATCTATTTTGGGATTATAGTGTGTCTTGACTTAAAAAGATTTATTAAATTACTACGCACGAATATGAACTTAAAACTACGAATTTATTTTCTTAAAACTTGTAAAAATGAAGCATTAATACCGCAACATCTAAAAAAGATTGTAAATTATCAAACGAATATTTGTACTAACTCTTCTCTTCATAAATTTGAACGCATAAAACTCAATTTTATTAATAAATTAAACATATGGGAGATTCAAGATGCTTATAGACAACTCGCTCAGATTAATAATGAGATATTCAAATTAAATAGGCGAATTACTAGTTCTTTACCTAGTCGGGTTGCTTTTTCCTTTTTTAGTAGACAGGAAAGTACTTTTAACAAACTATGGTTCAAAGAATACAATAGTATTAATAAAAAGTTAATAAATTTAAGAACTTCAACATCTCTATTAAGGAAGGAAAAAATCAAACAGAATCAAACCCATAGATTTCAATATTTTATGGTCGAACTCTTCTGAATTTAATGGTAAATTCACTCCATCTCATATTTAAAAAATAACTCAAGTGAATGATAATTTTAAAGAGAATACAATATTTCAAACTTATATTAATCCAATCAATTTTGAGGAGAATTATAATATCAATAATATTAACAAAAACTGGATAATAAATCTGAGTAATTTACACATTCCTGAAAATATACTAACTATTTTACAATTGGGACATAAATTCAATCTACCGAACAATTTAATTAATAAAGATAAAATTAACATTGAGTTTGTAAAACAAATTGAATATAATATTACTAAATTAGACGAAAATACACGTAACTCCATAAGAAATGATGCTATTCACGTTTTAAAAAGTAACCTATATGATAATATTAAAACTAATTCAGAAGAAAGCACATTAATAAAAGGAATGATTGCTACAAAAACATTTATTGATTCTCATCCGGAATTAAAAGAATTTAGTCATATAAAAAATAGTTTTGATTTTGTTAACAAACTGAATGGATCGTCTATTAACGAGGAATATGAAATTGTATCGTTCGATATTGTATCGATGTATACAAATATTCCGGAAGAATTAGTGATAAAAAGCATTGACGAAAGATGGAATTCCATCTCAACGAACACTAAAATACCAAAGGACGAATTTCTTAAAGCCATTTCATTAATATTTAACTCCACATATTTCAAATTTGACAATGTTTACTTTAAGCAAATTTTTGGCGTGCCTATGGGTTCTCCTCTATCTCCCATTTTAGCTGATATTGTATTACGGGACCTGGAGAAAGATGTGATTTCTAAATTAAATTTTAACATTCCACTATATTATAGATATGTGGATGATATTATTCTTGCAATTCCAAAAAATCAAATCAACGAGACATTAGATAAATTTAACTCTTTTCATGACAGGATTACATTTACTTGCGAACGGAATTATAAAGGTGCGATAAATTTTCTAGATGTGACTGTGTATGTTAAGGAAGGACAGATTAGATTTAACAATTATAAAAAACCGACGAATTCTGGACGCTATCTTAGTTTTCATTCGAATCATCCGATTAAACATAAAAAAGGTGTTATTATCGGCCTACTTGACAGAATTCTATTTCTTGCACATCCAGAATTTCATAATAAGAACATAGAAATGATGATTAGTACCTTACTTGACAACGGCTATCCATTAGACTTAATTTTCAATACCATTAACAAACGAATCAAATGTCTTGCTAGAAGAAAGAATTTATATGAGAACAATTTTCAAAATTCAAACAATGATAATTCTATTAATGCATATTTTACGGTACCATACATTAAAAACATCTCAAAAAAATTTAGATCAATTACGGAAAAAAATAATTTTAAAATCGCGTATAAACCAATGAATAAATTAAATTCGATATAATCAAAACAGGTAAAGCGTAGCACATAATTTCGTAAGTATAATGTATTTTAATAAAACATAATAAAATGTTGATAATAGTACTTACGTGTAGAACGTATTTTAGTTTTATATGAAGATGGATCTTTTTTATTATCAGCGTTTTTATTCTCACCACTGGATTCAGAAGATAATGAGGAAGTAGGATTGCTACTATCTAATGTAAGGATGAGAGTCATCCATGGCTTTTTATTAAACATTTCGTCCATTACCTGGAATACAGCGAAAATTGATATACATCTTAAGTATAATTAATATGTTCAACATATGTTTTTTCCCTCTATATTTACATGAAAATATTGCCAAGTCCTATGACTGTTACCACTTTTTGCGTTATGGTCTTTAACACCTTTATAGGTATTTTTTAGACCTGCCATCTTGCTTTTGCATTGAGAGCTTGTAACATTATATCCTTTCTCATTTAAATGAGAGGCAATCATGTTTCAAAATTTTTTCATAGTCATTTTTCCAAATTTGAATTGATCTTCGTGTTCTTTATACAACGTAAGTAATAAAAGAACTGCCTCATGTGGCCAACGAAAACTATCTGTAAAATAACATATGATCTATATGTTTTTAGATCCTTTTTCATACGATTATAATTATAATCATTAGGAAATACCTTTCTCTTGAAAATCAAAAGCTTCTTGAGAAGATTCAGAAAACTCTTGCGTTGTTTGATTCATATCATAACATGCTGTATCATGAAAAAGTATGAATGATTTCGATCATTAATGAAAAACATATAAGATAAATACGAGGATATACATAAAGAAATAAAAATGTAAATAATATATTTACCTGATTCAGTAATTGAATGACTTCGATTATTTTCAGCATCTTTGACAATTGTTGCTGTTTTTTCAGCACTCTTGGTAAATCGTGTCTCTTGGGCACTTTTAAAACGTTGTAAAAGTTGCGTCGCAAATACCATATTTTTGAAATAATAAAATTCGAAAATTATTTTTTCTAAATTAAATTATGTATATTTAATACAGATCATATCCCACATAGCAAAAATTGATCCTAGGTACATCCTACAGACGTATGTCGAGGGATTTTCAAACATCCTGAGTACGTATCTGAAGAAACTTAGGAGGTATTTAGAACATATTGAGGATGTTCGAATGTCCGCTTATTCTACATCCATAGGACATCATCATTCAGATATCATTAGGATGTTTCTAGATAACCAAATTTCATCCTATCTTTATCCAGTGGACGTCCTAAAATGTCTTTTAGGATGTTAAACCCTTGTAGAAAAATACTACTGAGCACTACTGCGC